TAATTGTTCCGGTCATGCCACAGCCGCCACACCCCGACACCAAAGGAGCAGTCCCAGTCATCGTCGAGATCGTTCGACGTGCCGGTAAGATTAGCTTCCAGCCACGGGCCATGTTCCACAGCAAAAAACTCTGTCCATCGTGAGCGGGGCAATATCGCCTTCCAAAATTGGACCGAGTGCGTACAGTCACGTAGTGCATGAAGAACGGTCTCCGGCTGAACTTTGCACAAGTCGCACAATGAGGTATCTGTTAAATGTCGCCGGTGCCGCTCGCCATTGGTCAACAGACGGTCTTGTGCCGCCAGCCACAAGAACTGCTTCACCCGTTGAGGGCCGACCCAACCCCATATCTGTTTCCACAGCCGACGCTTAGGGGCCCGCTCAGGTAGGTCTAACGATTTATAAGCTGAATATTTTTGGAGATAAATACACAACGATAAAATATTGAAAATTTCTTTCTTTCTTTCTTTTTTTTTTTTGGATCAAGTCATAAATATTTTTTTTAGACCACATAAATATTTTTTTTTTGGCCCAAAATATCACGATCAAGTCTAGATATCACGAAGAGTAATGAGTATGTATTCAATTATTACTTTTTAAGACTTTCAAAATTACAGTGTATTTAGTTGAAACTTTTTTGCATGTATCTAACTGAAATTTTTAAAACATTTTATTTATCTATAAAAGTCTCAGTGTATTCAATTGAGGCGTTCTCTTGCAGTTTCTGGGTCGGGTGCTTAGGCTGAGATTATGCCATTGTTGTGGTTGGTGTGGTCTCCCGACTGGGGAAGGGCTTTTGATTTTATTTTTTGTATTGTCTATTGTTATATTTGTTTAGTTTGTTTCGTTGTGGTTGTGGGTAGGACTGTGTTTTTGATTTGGGCTTTCAGCCCCTGTTTTTCTCCGAGTGTCAACTTATTATCCTGTTGGGATCGGACACTCGGGTATTACCCTGTTGAGGTCTTTTTAGTTTCCTAGTGGTTTTTTGTGTGTCCGTTATTACCCTGTTGGAGTCGGCTCTAGGTGGTCTTTGACCTGTCCTCTCAGTTTATTCCGCTGTTGGCTGTTTGTATTCAATTGTTGGTTGTTTGTATTCAGCCGGTGATTGCATTTTGCACATTTGTGCGTTTTAATAAAATCTCTATCGTTTTGAAAAAAAAATTGAAACTTTTTAAGTGTCTCAACAAGTCACCACACATTCAATTGGAACTTTTAAAATTAGAAGACTTTTGGAGACATTTTTAATAAAACTACAAACACAAGTCCTAGTAAAAAACTCATCAAATTGGTGAGGTTTTGCTGGATTTACGTTCCTCTCCTCAAATCCTACTCTACAACTACAATGTACAAAACTACATCGCTCATATCAACTAATAAATGGAGATATATATGTTACATGTGACATGGTAAATGAGGAATTTGTGCTTTCGCGCTGAATTATTGGCTTGTGTGAAAGTGAGGGCTCTAAGTCGTCTTGCCATTCTTCAACCACACTAGCATCGCCTTAGCGCGGAACAACTGATCAGTCAACGAGGTGGTAAAAAAAATTAATATTCTTCTTATTAATTCAATTCAGAGTAAAGACAAAAGGAAATGAAATCCACGGAGAAAGATGAAGCAAAGAAAGCACATAGCGTGGCACCCCGTAACAATGCAATGGAGAGTAAACGTGCTATCAACGGCTGTAGACAGTTTCGCGAGGAGCGAGTAGATGCAAGGCTTCCGGGTGATAGGACTTTTTCCCTTTGAGGAAGACAGCTAACGAGTTTTCATTCCTATTAGTCTCATTCGAGAGCTAAAAATATGCTTTTGGCATAGCATCGGGAGTTCACTTTTCTGCCCTTCTCTGCGCCTCCCCTTTCCATCCGGAAAAGATGAGCTCTACCTCTATTCTTTCACTCACGGGTGTTATTTACTTGGGTTGCCAATTCAACTCATGAGCCTTCTTAGTTCTCAATTCTCAAACTTATTTTTCTTTTATTTTCTCTATTCTTCTTTTGTTTTGTACACATAAGGGTGTTGCGGTATATCTATTGAAGTGGTAGCTGTGTAGGGGCAGAGGCACCGAAATACCACGAGAGAGCGCCGAAGATAGTGAGTGTCAAACAACAGCTTCGTCAGCTATGTTAAGGCGGCTCACTGAGTCGAGTGTTCATTTTTAAAGATTGTCTTTTTAGTTGATTCTAAAGAGGGGTTTATCAGAAGAATTTTTTTTTTTTTCATGTTTATACAAGTGAAATTTCATGTTTATATTAAGTTTGTGTTATTTTTATATTCAT